GGAGTATATTAATAGAAGTATAAATTTAGATGCAACAATATTGAATTTTTGTATTGAAACCTCCTCAGATAGAGGAAGTCAAGACGAGAAAAATCACGTTTGATTCATTCTGGTATCTCAATCCGTTCCGGAGATATAGACTTCCAAAGTTTTTCTAGGTGTTTCGTATCACTGGCACAGTTCAGTGGCCTACTTACGCGTCACAGCTGATAGTCTAGAGCGGCTGGTGTAGATTGGGGTAGGTCCGGGACTCGGTCAACGTGCGAGAAGGATAACAGTAGCGATACTGAAAAACTTATGCTTGCCTTTATACGACGATATCTCCGGAACCAAAAGTCGTATCGAGACGAATCAAACGGCATTTTAAAGAGTGTCTCGTCTTTCTCGAACTATGAAAAACGGGGAAGACTGGAAATATGAGTTAGTGAAATATCGGCGTGCGTCAGGAACGAAAGGAACATTTCCATTCACTTTCTTTCTCTGAATAGCCTGAAGTCTCTCATTTGTATTCTTATACTCTCATATGTCTATAATGCATAATTGAAATGATCTTAATTATCGACTATCTCAATTATGGTAATTTTCTTAACGAGCTAACCATGCAGATCTACTGTCTAGCGTTCTATAGAGATCAGTGACAGAAACTGAAAAAGAAATTCACAAAAACGAACGTCGTTCGTTGATACATTCTTCGATGCTTAACGCTACATAAAGAAATATACAAAAATCGTCTTCGTCGCACATTTCTTCACTTACTGCTCTTGTTCACGATTATCTTGTCCTGTACACCGTGCAGGAGATTCGTTATCTTAATCGGCGGCGGCGGTGGGTGCACGCCGGGGTGCTTCCTGCGGTGCAGCATCATCGGTGATCGCTGCGTGAAACTCTGTCCGCAGATATCGCAAACGTAGGGCCTCTCACCGACGTGAGTCAACAGGTGAATCTTCTGGGAGCTGAGACAGCCGAACGTCTTGCCGCAAATTGCACATAAATAAGATTTCTCTCCGGAGTGCGTCCTGAGGTGTTTGGTAAGGCCGTACTTCGACTTGAACTCCATTCCGCACTGCTCGCAAACATACTTGATTTTATGCAACTCCATATGACTGTCTAAATTCTTCTGGGTCTTGAACTTCTTTTTGCACGTCAGGCAGGGGAACTTCTTCACTTTTGTCTTGTGCTTGTAATGTTTGTGGAAATACAGTGAACTCTTGCTAGGATACGAAGAGCCGCAGATGTCGCAGACACAGGATTCGGTGTCGTGGTCCTTCACGTGGGTCGTGTAGTCGGACTGGACTTTGAACATCTTTCCACACTGCTCGCATTTATAATTGTAATCTTCGGTGTGCCTTCTGATGTAGTGGATCTTCAAGTAAGGTTTGGTGCGCGCTTTGAAATCGCACAGGTTGCATTTATGGAGTTTCACGGGCTCGTCGTGAACCTCCATGTGTCTGGACAGGTGGGCCGGCGTTTTAAAACCTTTGGTACAGACGCTGCATTTATGCGGCCTTGAATTACTGTGCTTGGACATGTGCCTCACGTGTTTGCTCTTCCGGTCGAAGGTAGCGTAGCAGATCTCGCAAGTGTGCAGCTTCCTTCGAGTGAGTTGCTTCACGCTTTTATTCTTCGTCATCGCCTGCTGTTTTCTGAAATTCAACGGCGTGTCTTCGAGGTCGTCCACAGAATCGCTGTTGCTGCTCGCGTTCTTCTTAGTCTTCTCCTCTTTCGATTGGCTCTTCTTCGCTGTCTCCGGGCTGCTCTTCGAGGCTTTCGGCGACTCTTCTTTCTCGTGGGTCTCCTTTCCGTCTTCTTTCGGCGGTGGTTCCTTCATCATGAACATGCTCAGCGACGTCGGTATCCGAAAGTATTTATCTTCTAATCTTACTATCAGAAAAGTCGGAGCGAGCGGGTCTAGCGCGTTGCACCTAAAAAACCACAAAGCTAGTCAGTCGATTACAGTCTCCGTCAATTACGGATAGCAGGATAATCAGTATTTTTTTTTGTTAGTTCTCTTGTCTAAGTCGTTAGCATGCACCGTCTAAGAATTTATTTAAAGACACTTAGGAGGTATTATTCAAATTTATTTGTCCTTCTCTCGAAATTTTCTTAATGCGTGTTAAGGAACTTACGTACAATTACACTAGAAAAAAGGATAGTTCATTATTTTTTAATTTTGCATCGACCATCATTGAAATCATATTAATTATATGATTATAAATGACAAATTTAGATGTCTGTAGGATATTTGTAAGTATGAACGCTTTATTTCTGCAGATACTAATTTATGTACAAATATACAAGAATATAATGTAACGAATTATACAGATATGTACAAAAATGATTACTGATATGGACTGACTGATACATGATTATACCTAAAAATTGTTTATACGTAATGAAATTTCACTTAAATTAGGATAAAAAATTCTGAAACTTGCATGTACTTTAAAAACGTGCTTATCGATCATTACAAACCTTCGTACTTAAAACTGGTACACGTATCGCAAAACCAAGGTTGCATAAATCAAGTCACTTGTAAATTAATCAAAAAATTATAATTATCAATAATTATATTATTTTGTAGATTATAATTTGACGTTCAGCACGCAGTTCTTATCGATTTTATCACTCTGCAGATTTTCTAAATAATTCCTAGCCAATTCAGCGATCTGAGGGTGATTGGAATGCAGAGGTGGAAGAGGACCAGCGTGATGCCTCCTGTGCCTGAGAAGACTCGAGCGTTGCGTGAAGTCCTCCTCGCAGATATCGCATTTGTACGGTCTGATGCCTGCGTGCGTCAACACGTGTTGATAGAAGTTGCTACTGGACTGGAATTCCTTTTGGCACAGGACGCAAGTTGAGATCTTCACTTGACCGTGCTTGAACCTCTTGTGGCTCATCAGCTCGCGCGTCCCGCGGTACTCCTTGCCGCACTCCTCGCACTTGAACCCCTTCTCGTGCAGCCTCAAGTGATTGTCCAGTCTGCTTCTATGGTGGAACTTCTTGCGACACAAGTGGCAAGTGTGCTCGTATTTCACTTCCTTGTTTCTTCTCTGATGCCGCCATTCATGGCCCTTCACGTCCTTGACTTCTTTACCGCAGAATCGGCAGATTTGCAGTTCCTGCACGTGAGTCCTCTTCATGTGATGCGTCAGGTCGATCTTCAGTTTGTAACTCCGGCCGCAGTGCTCGCACACGTATTTCGACTCGTGGCCACTGTGCGTACGCATGTTGTGCCTCTTCAAACTGTCCTCGCTTTTGTACTTTACGTGGCAGGTCTCGCACTCGAAGAAGTAATCCGGTCGGTGGATCAGCTTGTGTTCTTCTAAGGCCCGGGCCGTGTGACACGATCTCTTGCATTTGTCGCATTTGTACGGTTTTCGGTGAACGTACGTCACGTGGTTTTCTACCTTCTTCGCGTTGTCGAAATGCTTCTCGCAAAAGGGGCAGGTGTTCTTGATTTTATCCAACAGTTGATCCACTTCGGGCTCGCCCTTCTTCGATCTTCCGGTTGGACTTGGAGATCCAACTTTAGATTTCCTCGAGTATCGTCTGATATTATCAGAATTATTAAAAGACAGATTGCACAATGGAGATTCTTCAGATGGCAATTCTTTCGTTTCGTCGTCTTCTCGTTTCCAGGGACCGACTGTTAAACAGTAAGACGAATTTCTGTCTCGGTTTCGTTGCTGTCCTGCGACAGGCTCTCTTCTGAAACAAGGACAGTACGTGTCAGTGCGTGAGATACCTACTCGTTCGATTTTAAACATCCATCAATCGACAGAAATTCTTTTAGCTAGAAAAGAAGACTTTTTACAGTTACGGTAAACAACTTTATTTTAGGTATAAACTCGTTTGACAAATCTGAAATATATTAAAAATTGTAACTTACTTTCCGGCACACTTGCACACTTTATTGTACAATTCTAATCAGGTTTTGCATGTGCGTACATTATCACTTCATTCTGAACACGANTTAATTCTACTCTCAAACACTTTTAATATAATCAATTAATAGTGTCAGCGTCGATCAAGAGTAACATAACAAACGTGTTAGACGCCGGAACGTACGGCGGACGACGTTCAATATTTCATATCCCTTGGAATGTTACATACTCCAGTGCATTGACACTTTTCGAACACACGTTTTCACATTACTCCGTATCGGAATTTTGCTTCGTTTCATTTCGGAGTTTCTCGAGAACGTGTTTGGCGATATTAGCGATCGGTGTGCTCTCCGTGAAAGGTGGGAGAGGCCCCGGGTGAGTCCTGCGGTGTCTCAACATGCTCGACCTTTGCGTGAAGTCTTCGTCGCAAATGTCGCATCGGTACGGTCTGATCCCGGCGTGAGTTAGTACGTGTTGATGAAGATTGCTGCTGCTGTTGAACGATCTCTCGCAAACGGGGCACGTCATCACAGTGGTCCTGTGCTTCGCGGCTTTGTGCCGTACGAGTGAGCTCTGCGACTGGTGTATCTCGTCGCAGTGATTGCACTTGAAACCGTCCCTGTGCAGCAACAGGTGATTGTCGAGATTATTGCGCGTGGAGAATTTCTTCGGACAAAGGGTGCAACGGTAACGACGACTGCTAGCCTTCGTAGCCGTCATCTCGTGTCTCCACTCGTGATTCGCTACGTCCTTCACCAGCTTGCCACAGATCTTGCAGATGTGGCTGGAGTACATGTGGATCTTCTCTATGTGCAAACCAAGATCCACTTTCAGTTTGAAACGCTTGCCGCAGTGGTCGCACATGTATTTAGCCTCGATGTTGCTGTGCACACGAATCTGATGATGCCTGAGACCGGCCTTTCGTTTATAACGCAAATGACAGATTGAGCACTCCAGGTAGAAATCGTCTTCGTGCGCTTTTTGGTGTTCGATCAAGCCCTGCCGGGTCGAGTAAACTTTGTCGCACTTGTCACAGCTGAGAGTCTTCTTATGTATACTCCGGATGTGTCTTCGCATCAGATGGGCAGTCTTCAATTCCTTCTGACAAATCGGGCACACGCTCGATTCGCAATTCAACAAAACATTCTCCTCTTCCATCTCAGACGTCGTTTGAGTCTCGGTCTCGTGCGCCACTTCTGCTTCTCCCTGTTTCTCCATCTTCATCGGCCTGATTTCCTCGATGTCCTCGTCCTCGACCAATCTGCTCAGCTCTTTCCTTTTCCTGCTACTCTCAATGTACTTCACTTCTTCTTCGGTCAACAGTATTATCACTTTCTTTTCTGTCGTCTCGTTGTCTTTCATCGAAGCGGTGCACGGTATCAACGGTTTATCAGACTTCACTGTGAACGACGGTGACTGAGAACTTGGGACCAACGGTTTCCCTTTTCCTTTAATCCCTCCGAATATCTTCTGAATCCTCGCCTGCTGCAAATTCGATTCCAACTGCGCGCTGGGCATCACGACCGGCGTCAGTACGTTCTTCACTTGACTCTGACCATTGCTGTCTATCACTCGCACTGGCACCAACTTGTTCTGAATCTGAGCGGACTGGTGGATCACCGGCACTTTCGAGATCTGCGGGAAAGTAGTTGCCGTCTTTGACCAAACACTCTTATTATTATTATTATTATTATTATTATTATTTTTGTTATTGTTATTATTATTCAGGTTTGTCGGAGGAACGATAAATCCGCTGACCGGTGAGCTGAGCTGGTCTTTCATTAACAATACTGGAGCCGCTTTATTGGGATTCGCGCCGTGTCTCGGAAGTATAGCTGGAAGCTTTTTTAAGATCACGCTGTTTGCGTTCGCAGATGTTATCGGTTGGATATTGAAGTTGACCGGTGCTTTGGTGGCTACTTGGACCGTGGTGTTCGGATCAGCTGTAGCAGGGATTTGCGGTTGGCGACTGATGCGAATCAAAACGAAGGGGTGCTTCTCCGTGTTCTCAGGTTTGAAATCTTCCATCGATTTCTCCATCACTCTCTCCAACGACATCTTATCATCTGACTTTTCCATTAATCTCTCCTTCAGTATGGATTTTTCCATCACCTCTTTGCATTTCTCGTCGGATTCTTCTATCGGTCTTTCTTCTGACTCTTTGCCGCACTTCAATACTACTTCGTCTTTTACCTCCAACTCTTTCGGTAATTCTTCCCCGGAATCCAGCTCGAATTTTTCCAGGCTGCTGAGCTTCGGCGAGCTCCTGAAACACCGATTCGTTTAGTTAGTCGCGAGAATGAACCAGCGTGAATCGAGTGCAACAAAATAAGTTGAAAATTTGATGGATCTGGTTTAGTCTGTAACAGCCAATAATTCATTTATTCTCATTCCTGCCAGCAGGCGTTTTGTCATTGATTATAAGTGAGGGATGGGATGGGAAAACGGGAATAGAAGAATTACAAAGCAATTGGTAAGAAATATTTAATTGTAGGAACAATGTACACAAGCGGTGAATGCGCGAAACGATCATACATAGACGTTAATATGAATTTTTAATTCATGTTACTTACATCAAAGGAAACTTTGCCAAACAGTATTTTATTTACACAATTTCGTACTTTCGTCTTCCTATATATAATAATTATAAAATAGTCACTGGTAGCATGTTGATAAAAAAATTGCGAGTCATTTTCTTTGAGACGAAACGAATTAAATCGTCGAGGCACATAAAATATATCTGCGAGTCAACGATTATAGAAATACATATAGAATAGTAGAAACTTTCTATATGTCAAGTGAAAATAAAAAATGTTTGATTATAAAATTTTCCTATGACAAAAATAAACAGGAACTAATCTTCTTACTCCTCTCTCTTAACTCTTTTCTTAGATTCCTTGTTCCTTTCTTTTCTGCACTCTTTTTCTCTCTTTTGTGTTTCATTTTGTCTGTCTTTGCATACGGGACTTGATATTTTTTTGTCGGCTGAGTAGGCATGAACATATTTGATCTGATAATCGGTAACAGGGTTTTTAATCATGTTCTTGCCAGACTCCCCGAGTGTTCTTAATCTCTTTCGATCTCTAACGGATACCGAAACTGTCGGTTCATCCGCGATTCTCCCTTCCGGGAATGACATAATCATTGACTTCTCATATCTTGAATTCTGTGCGATTGAAAGTTAAGAGAGTAATTGGAAATTCAGGTTCCGTGATTTGTTCCATCGGTGATCGTCGGCTTTCTGAAACATCCATTTATTTAGTCAGTTGAGAGAACAATGCATGAGGCTGGGACTGGAGAAAACCAACATAAACTTAAACAAAAAGAATCGGTCGCCTAGCCGCTTCCGATGTGATCTCTGGAAAAATTTAAGTGACACGAGAATACAGGGTTGAATAAAGGAGAGGGTAAGATGTGCGACCCGGATGAAGTAAGAACGATTTTTTCTGAAAAGGATTTAATTAAAGGAACGAGTAATACTTGGTACAAGCAATGGATGCTGGCGTGCCGAACGTTGCACTGAGAACAATGTCTTCGGACTAATGAGACATTTACAGCCGCCTGCGTCTACTTACATCGGTAAAATTGTCACAGCTTCTAGAACAACCATCGTTTCATTATGGAACTCTCTCGCTTACTTTCTCTCTCTCCCTCGCACTCCGTTTCTCACAATCTTCCGTACAACGCCCCGATGCATACTCAACGATCTACAATTAATATACACTGCTTCCACAAGCTCGCACAGTTACCCTTTTAAGTACATTGAAGACAGTAAAAACATCATGTCCTGTGTCTTATCAGTAACATATAGATTTAATGTTAACGATGCGATATTAGAGAGCGTAACGGCGAACGAGTTTGCAAAATTTATGATAAACCAGCGTTCATTCGATCGCCACGTTCAGTGGATCCTATGAAAATGAAATTTAGACAGTGAAGAAATGAATCGATGGAAGTTACATGTCACTTAGGAGATCGTTTGCACCATTTTAATATCAGTAAAAGATATTAAATAATATCATTGCAGTAGTCAAGCGAAGCGCAACGAGTTGTGTAGATAATTAAATCCTTTGAGCATCACCGATAACCGATTCTTTTCACTTATTTCAGTCTTGCACCACGGCTTGCCTCATCTTTCAAGATTTTCTCGAGGTAAACGATTACTGGTGCAGACTGCGACAATGTGCCATCATCGTGCCCCTTTGGCTGAAGCTTAGCCCGCACCTATCGCAAAGGTACGGCTTCTCCCCGGTGTGTATCACGCTGTGCACTCTAAGTACACGCGCGGTGGTGAACGCCAGGCCGCAGATCTTGCAAGCGTACGGCTTCTCGCCGGTGTGTTTGAAGACGTGCAACGCCAATGCAGGCTTCGTGCTGAACTCCATGCCGCACTCGGCACAATGGAACTTCCGCGAGTGATTCTCGACGTGGACGTGGAGACTGTCCGCGGTGACGAAGCTCTTGGGGCAGATGTTACACTGATATTCTTTAGGTCTGTTGTAAACTCCGTGGATTTTATATTTGTGAGCTTGAAGACTGGCTATGCGGAAGTACGAATTGCCACAGACGTCGCAGATGTGCGATTTCTTTCCCTGGTGCCTGGATATATGATCTCGTAGATAATATTGAGACATGAATCCCTTGCCGCACTGCTCACAGTAATAAGCAAAGGCGCCCTGGTGCAGCCGGCGTTGGTGGAGGTGCAGGGAGCGTCTGTTCGTCGTGGTAAATCTGCACTCGGCGCATTCATATTGTATGCCAAGGTGAATGTGCTTGTGAAGGCTCAGTTCCTTGGAACGTTTGAACGCGTTGCCGCAGACGTTGCACTCGTACGGCCGGAGGTCGGTATGGTGGTACATGTGGCGTCTTAATTTGCATTGCGTGTCAAACTTCTGGGGACAGAGTGGACATTGTCGTATTTTCAGAGGATCCGGAGTTCGTCTCAGACTCATGTTTTCTTGTTGCTTCGCGTTTCCCGATGACCTAGTGGGAACAGCGATTAGAACGCGCACGTCCCTTTTCTTGTTTTTGTCTTCCAATTGCGGCGACCCGCACACCACCCGGGGCGTCGAAGGCCTTATCCTGAGGGTTCTTCTTATTCTTTGGTACCGGAGAAGTCTGCAAGCAACAATGCGAATGTTGAACATTCTAAATAGATATCCAGATCGAAACTTCTTTTTGACGCATGTTTCTTTTTAATACGAATACGAGCTGTATGCTGGTTGTCGGTCCTTGAACGAGGATGTGAAGGGAGTGTGTGATCGTCGCACGCGAAACAAGCGTGATAGATCGGTCGATCGGGGGAAAAACTCGTTACGCAGAATTCGTCAGTTTTCAATGGGTTATTGTTCTTTTATTAAACGTATAATAACGAGTATCAATAGTCACAATTAACATGGAACTTGCAGTCGATATACTCTCTCATTAGTCGAACGCGTGTACATCGAACCAAGCGCGCGAAACGAAGTAAAGTAAAAAATAAAAGAAGAGAAGAAAATCGTTCCTCCGAGTGCAGTACAATTTTCAACGAAGGAACCACCGGCACGATGTTCGTTCGACATCGTGATTAATTCGTAAATAAACTGGTCAATGAGAAACTACGTGAACTCGCAACAGTGAACTAACGATACGATCTCTCAGTCGATCCGAAACAACCATACAATTGGAAATTTTGTCCGATGCGTTTTGTTCTATCACCTCCGTCGGCACTTCGTTAGTCCGGAATTCTACTCGCGGCGGAGAAGGCACAACGCTGATTTAAACGCAGGTCGATTTCTGATGAGCCGTCAGATTGCCCTGGCACGAGAAACCCCGGTTGCAAATCTGACAGACGTACGGCCGCTCGCCCGTATGCCCCCGCCTGTGAATGGTAAGCGTGGACCTCTGCGAGAACGCTTTCGGGCACTGGTCGCACTTGTACGGTTTCTCGCCGGTGTGCACTCTTCGGTGCATCCGTAGATTTTCGGAATCGGTGAAACCCTTGCCGCAGATATCGCAGACGTATGGCTTTTCCCCGGTGTGGATGCGCCGGTGTTTCTTCAAATGCTCCGCGCTGCTCAGACTCTTACCGCAGTAATCGCAGAGGTACAACTTCGTCGGGTTGTGACTCTCCTTGTGACGGAACAGGGAGCGTTTCGTGGCGAGCACGCGGCCGCATATGTCACAGGCCGTGCTGGTCACTTTGTTCGCTTTCAACTCGGGATGCATGCGCCTGCAATGAGCGGAGAGCTGTCGCCTAAGGTAGAAAGCATTGCCGCACAACTGGCAGGCGAACGGTTTGTCGCCGGAGTGGATATTATAGTGCTCTTGGAGGTCGATCGCCTTACGGAAGCGTTTGTCGCAGTCGTTGCACTGGAACGGAAGGTCTGCCTTGTCTGTGTGCCGCAGCATGTGGATGCTGAGAGCTGCCAGCACCGTCGTCTCGTAGTCGCACTCTTTGCACATGTAACTGGGATAGAAGTGAGTCTTCTCGTGCCTGGTGAGGTCACGGAACAGTCGGAACTTCTTGGGGCAGTGTTTGCAGGTGAGATCACCGACCGTGTGCCGCATCAAGTGTTTCTGATAATTACTCTTGTGTCGGAACACCTTGTTGCAAGTCTTGCAGAGAAACTCCATCTCCGGCTTCTCTTTCTTCACTTTCAAACTGTTCGAACGATTCACCATCGACGAGTTCCCGGATTTCCGCCCGCCCTTACGACCCGCGTGCTTCTTCATGTGCTTGCGCAGGTTCACGTACGTCCTGAACACTCTCCCGCACTGGGCGCACGTGTTCTTCCGCTTACCCTTGTGCTCGAGCTCGTGGGTGTCCAGCAACGCTTGCGACGCGAAGAACACGCCGCACTGCTTGCAGTGGTAAGCCAGAGGCAGATCCTCGTCGTCGATCTCGTCGTTCACCTCTTGCTTGATGAAGTTCTGCTCCTGTCTCTCGGGCGCAGCCTCGGCCGCCTCCAGTGGACATTTCAACGACGCCGCGTGCTCGGGATTGTCCGCGTCCTTTTTCACCAGGTCGAGCTTCGTCAGCATCGCCATCGGGTAATACTCTTCGGAAAACGGTAGCTGATTGTACCTGAAATGTAAAAATTCGAAGGGCCACATCAGTATCGGCGTGTCCTCGCTTTGGTGTACGTATTTTCATTTCAACGCTCGCGTCTCTTTCGCTATTTACTCGTATCGCATACCTGGAAGCGACGTGACGCCCGGCGAAATTACTTTAGACGGGCTCGAAAATTCGCTTTGTAATCATAATACGCATTTCACGCCGGAGAACCTGATGATACGCAATCAGAAAAAGTCAAGATGATGATCGAACTTGTATCTGTACAGTGGTTGCGGTCAACGGGACGTGGAACAGTCGTTTTATTTATTGTACATTGGATGATTTACAATATTTTATAGCCGAGGATAGGAGCTCGTACATGTAGTAGTGTGAGGTAGTGTAACACTGCGAATGATATGGAGCAAATGATGCATGTTTATTGATTATAAAAATTATTCTGTATAATCTTTCATTAAAAGTAAACTTCTTCATGAACACGTGTAATGATCAATCCACTCGTTTCTCTTCCGCATTCCAAATCCTGTACACTTGGTTCTGCGCGTTCAACGCCAATCAGGAGACACGTTTCATCGTAATAAACGTACTCAGACGGTCTCTTCTACCAGTACGTGTTGCAGTGATTAGCTTGACGGTCTTGGGGAAAGTCTTGTGAAGAGCTCAGAGTCTTTTGAAATTCTTCTCGTCGAAAGACGGACTTCTTCATCGACGTGAATCTTATGAATACTCAGTATTGTTGGACTTTTGAAATTCTGTGATGGAAATGAGAAAGCCTCGTCAATAACTTCAGATTCTCACCCTGTCGGTTCTGATCTGACAACGTTCGATTTATGGGAATAATTGCGTTTTATTCAGTGCAAATTTAGTTGGATTTACATTCAACGGAGTTACGCTAAAAATGTACGTATGTAAACTCTTTCGATTCATGGATTAGATAAGATTTACTATGTCTTGTCATCGAGATTTTTAGAACTGAAGGAATGTTTTTATAATGATAACATTTTTGTATCAATTTCGTGTAATTTCCGAATGGTACATTTGACCCCCCAGTTTGCTAGAATTACATTTATCGATAGATAAAAGCAAATTAAATTGTAGGAGACAATATCGCTTTACAATTGTCGTCAACGCTTAATAAAATTAATGAAAACT